GCTACCATAAAAAGTATGGGATTTCCTCGAAATATTAAAAGTGGAAGTGCCATAGTAGTGTTTCTGCACATGACCAGTAAACCATCTGAACCTTCAACATACAAATTTGTGTGTTGAAGAGAGCTCTTCAAAACACTGGTTATTACAGCAATATTCACACCCTCCGAGATGTCCCTCGGCATATAAACCAATAAAGGAAATATGGCAGACATACAATGGCCATAGAGAGAATAAAGCCCTGCCATCTGTGATAACACATGTACGTCTAGACAATACCATGTAAGGTGTAATAGCTCAGGCAGAGAAAGGCTAATGCCTCATCACCTCACACGTCTGTGGAATCTGAAAGAGTTTATTTCATAGGAGTCGTGAGCTGAATGGTGCTTAGCCAACGTGTGAGTGGTTGGGGGGAATGTGGAGGCATTGGTTAATTATAGTTAGATTAGAGAAGTACAAATATATGCAGAATAGGTGAACACAGGGACAGAGAGTAGAAAGGCAAGTGAATACTTGTGGCTAGGTGATAGAGGGGGGAGCTTAATGGGGGGGAATGGAGTGGAGAATGACTAAATAGTCCTGTAATACCTTCTATGAGAGATAAAGTGTTCTGAAATTGTGTTGATGGTTGGCAATTGTGCGAACACTTAAAACCATCAGGTTATACACATTAAGTTGGAGGATTGTGTGATATGTGGGTTATATCTTATTTACATCTCTGCTATTGGTGTGCTCTCTGGTCTAAAGTTTGAGTAGAGATGAAGTAGATGATCTCCAGGCCCTACACCTTACTGAGGAGCCAATTGGCAGTTGATAATTGCTGGAGGAAGGCGAATCACTCTCTTTTGAGGATGTAGCCTCTTTTAGAATTCCCATGCGCCATGCATGGTCCCAGACTCAGGCACATAAAGGCAGCACCAACTGGATTAACTCGGTTATAAAACATTTTTTAAAATGAAAAAACAATGACCAAGGAAGACACAATGAATGCCACCATTTACAAAGAAATTAGACAGCATCTGATTGGAGTGGAAGAAGCAGGGAATGGGGACAGGGCAGCCTTCCCTGAGCATGCAGGTCACCCAAGAGGTTGGAGGATTACTCTCATGTGACCAAGGAAGGAGTGTTACCCTGTGGGACAGGAGGAGCCAAGGAAGACCTTGCAGTTGCTACTGGCCCCACCATTCTCTGAGATGGAGGGGTCTTTCTAGAACTCTATAAATGGATGACTTTGGGTGAGTCTTCTATCTCAAATTGTGCAATAAAATAAAAGGTGAGAAGTGAAAGAGGAGATGAAGCAACAGGAACAGGGAAAGATTTCTGGGCTCCATTCTCATCTCCTTGGAGGTGTGTGTGTGTGGGAGGGAGAGTTAGCTAGAAGTAGGAGGCCGTAGATTAACCCCACACATTAGATTGGTCAGTTTGTTATTAGCAATATTAGTGAAGGAAGACATTAAGATCTCTCTCAACACAGGGACAGCCTTCCAAGGATTTCCTAATTCCTATGCTGGGAAGCCTGGCGATGGTGATGGTTGTCAGGGCACAGGAGACAAGAGACTCGGCTGGCCAGCTAGTCAAAGATATGTCAGGAAGAACAGATTGGAGGAGACATGAGACCAGTTTCAAATTCCCCACTCAGGGATAGCCACAGATAATTGGTTATTCAGACATACAAATTGAATCTAAGAAGTAACAGTTGACTTTAGGGTTATTTTTTCAAGTAGCATGAATGTCCAAGTATGTATTTGCAAAGCATTAAAATCCATAGGAGACATACTTTATTGTTTGTTTGGTTCGTGAGATCACCTGGCACAAAATAAAATGTTTCTTTTTTTCTGTGCGGTGACCGCACATGTCAAATATGGGAGAGCAACCTACACACCAATTTTCAGCCTATGGATCTGATTTTTCATGAGCCTCACCACACATCCCTCACAGAGAGAGCACTTGTTTAGGGTGGATGTGTTTCACCTTCTTTGTGGAAGCCTCAAAGAGAAGGCAGTACGAAGGGAAAATCAGCTATTTATAGACGTTTTTGACTAAAAGTGTCTGCTCAGCGTGCTATGGAATATTTCCAAGATGTGGGAGAACAGGAAACTATCTAAAAATCAACTGGAAGGCTGGAGGAGTGTTATGGGGGAACAATTCTGCAGGGGAGTCGTTTGCAGAAAGCTCAGGTTTCATTTGCAAACAAATGACAGTTACTTTTCCTGACACTCCAAGTTACAGAGAAGCCAGCTAAACTTCTAGTTAAGGAAAGAAGAGGAGAGGGGGAAATGAAAAACCCCATGAATTCTTAAAGTACTGTAAGTAACTGGAACCCTCAAAGGAATTTTAAAGGGGGACACTTCTCTCTACAGCTGATCCTTGATGGAAGAGTTGCCAGCTAGGTGGATGCCCATAGAACACAGGGCAAGCAGGTGGATTTCTAAGAATAGACTGCAGGTCCCTGTGACCTAACGGTCCTGCTGAGACTAGAGAAGTCTTTGTCAACACTTACCTTTGCTTTTATAACAACAACACAACAAAATGGCAAGGTCATTTGCTCGAGCAAACAATTCTATGAAATTCTACATGCATCCCATGCACTGTGCTTGCACTGTCTGGGTGGTCACAGGAAGCGAGTGTGGTAGGAAGACTTGGGGCTGACTGCCAAGAGACAGATGGCTGCGAGGAGAGCCTGGGCTTTTGATGGTTCTGTGGAGGAGGAGGAGGAGGTCCTGAGAGGGACCTGCCTTCAGCAAATGTTTATTCTTTGGAGTTCTCTAGTCTTAAAAGAACAGTGCACCCGGCTTCAGAGAACGGGAAGGTTAGTTGAGGACCTTGGACAGGAGCAATGGAGGATAACGGCCTAGGACCTCCTGCCACTCCCCTTCAGCTGTCGTAAAGCTCATACCTGTCTGGTTGCTGTGAAGAAGACACTCCTCAGAGAACTAGTTAAGCCCATAAAGGATATGGCAGAAGGGTGGGTTGAGTTACCTTGGGGACATATCCCACAGTTGTTGCTGTTCTTTAACCTCATCCTGTTGATTTACCAGGTTGCCTGGAGTAAGGCAGTAGGTGGTTGGCAGACCAACACTGCGAAAGTAAATGCAAGGCTCGTGGGAACGAACGCTTGAACAGGCTGGAATTGTGTTCTACCAGCAAATGCCAAGCCATGTGAAAATCCGCTCCACAGAGGCGAAGATATCTCTGACCTGGCCCTTTGTAGCCCTCTCACTTCTAGTCACCAGCTGCATGTGTTCAGTTGGCACCTGGTAAAGGAAGTTTCCTCATTGTGATTAAGATCTACCATTATCGTACATGGGGTAGGGGGAAGTGGGGTGGATAGGAAAGAGGTTTTCCTTGTCCATGAAATCAGGCATGCCTATGTAAGCAAAATAGAAAAGGGAAAAAAAGCATTATGTTACAATACACCAAACAAAGGAAAGATTCAAAGCATATTCATGGCTGAACACGTATACTTTGGAAACCTTTCACACTATTATTTTATTTGATTGCCTAAATCCTCATTTCTTCCCCCTAGCGCCCGAAGCAAACAAAGTCATATCTTCAGGCCCACTTTATGGGTTAAAAAATGGAAGCATTGGGTTGAGAGAGTCCAGTGATGTAGGAAGCCAGTGATAACATCAAAGCTTGGCTGAGCACGTGAAGCCCATGTTTCCATCAGTTAGACTCTACTGCCTCCTACAGGAAAGTACACGAGACACTAAGCCTACAGCTCCCTGTAACTGAGTTACTTGAGTTTCTTGGACAGATTCTATTGAAGTCATTCCAGATGTAGTATGCCATCAGAATCTCTTGGGTTGATGCCAGAAATCCTCACTTAACAGACACCTTCAATGTAATTCTTGAGCACATGACGTCATGGGAACTACCTCTAAATTGACAGAGGGATATTCAGTGGTATATGACTATTAAAAATGGTTCACTACAGGCTTACATGGGATATGGTTGTGGTCACTTGTCCCCATGTAGATACCATCCTGCCTTGCATCAGGTAGTGTTTCCAACCTTATAGGCAGATCTTTTTCTCAGTCGCCCATCCTCTCAGCCTTTTGTTCTTCCAGGATATTGTTCTCTTAGCTTCTGTGCAGTTACCCTGATTTGATATATTTGCTCTCATTGTCCCAAACGTATTATCCTACATATCATTATATGTGTGTATAATTTATATATGCCACATATATGTGTTGCACCATGTATCCCTTTGAAACAATAGATAGTTTTTATCCTGATGAAGTGAGGTGAAAGATTCTGACTGCCGAGACATGGAATATGCTGGGGAGAAGCATGCCGTCCTCAGAATCCAGATCCTGCACCCTAATAAGTGTTGGACCTAGAGATCACATATCCAAAAGTGCATCTGTCCTGCTCCATTTGCCCTCTTCTGGACCATAGTCCACCCCTGGTAAAGCCATTAGGATGCAGAAAGGCTCAATCTGTAATAGCAGAAATACATCCATTCTGGGGGTGGGAAATAAGAGTTAAAACTATGAGCATGGGGCTTGTCAGATGGCCCAACAGATAAAGGTACTTGCTGTACAAGCTGACAGCCTGAGCTCAACCTCTGGAACCCCTGGTGGGAGGAGAGGACACACACCTGGAAGTTGTCCTCTGATCTCCACCTGCATGTGTGGCACATGTGAATTGTGTCCACACACACACACACACACACACACACACACACACACACACACACACACGAGAATAACAAATAAAATAAAAATACAATACATACTTTGTGACTACAGAGCTACAAATTGCAGAGAATTATTTAGCTGACAAATATCTTTGTCTCCTATGAGCCTTTTAAAGCACAAACATGTGACACATGTGACTCTCAGGTCATTCTCGACCTCATTTCCTCCAAAGAATGTATCAGCAAGAATTTGAAAAGAACCTTCGGGCTTTAGCAGAATGAGAGAGAGAGAGAGAGAGAGAGAGAGAGAGAGAGAGAGAGAGAGAGAGAGAGAGAGGAATGAAGAGAGCACAGACCATCAGGAAGAAAGACAGCCAGTGGAGGCCTCCTCTGAGACGACAGATCTTGTCAAGGTATTTCCTTTTGTCATTGGAAAAGAGTAAGCAGAGCTAAATAATTCCAGAAGATTCTTTTATAAGATGGTTGCTACATAAAGTAGCAGGAAGCTGTAGAGTCTAGACTATCAGGAAGAGATTGTGAGTGAGGAGGTTTACGGGATGATGTTCCAATGAGGAGTGTCTGTTAGTCAGAAAATGACAATGTAGAAGGAAATAGAAATAAGATGTTAAGCCCCTAGATAGTTAAATCAGGGTATTGGACAATCCTGAAGATATGTATTAAATTGTGGGGCTTCAAAGGCTGCACAGGACAGAAGACTTTTTTTTCTTCATGGTTGTTGAATATGTCTTTGAATTAAAAGGACTGACACCGGCTTTGTCCTCACACGAGGGAGTCAGGACATGACTAGATTAATGATCTGAAATAAGACTGAAAAAGTAAGGTAATGACTTTTTACTTGGATCGATGAAAAAAAGAGGGGCGGGGGGAGGTTCCTTACTTCATAGCTATTCTTCTTCCATGGCTTTTGTGAAGTGGCCCATTTAAAAGAGATCTGATTTCATCAGAGATCAAAGACATCAAAAGCACGGATGTGTTATCTAGAAGTGTGGGTGCCCAGGTGCGGAGGAGGAGGTGAGGGAGTAGATCCATGCACCTGTGAACACAGCAACACTTACTATGCTTCATAGATAGTTTTTCCATTTCACAAGAGTGTGTTCAGCTTTCCTAATTCATCGAGGACAATGATTAGACATTCTTGAGTTAGCAGGAACAGTGCTCTAATATCATGAGCTTACCTAGAAACCTCAGTGTGTGGCTCAGACACACAAAGTACGGCACAACATTAAGTTTTAGCAAATAAAGAAAAGCAGTTTTAAAGGTAAACTCTGTATTTTCTTACATTTGTAGGATCAAAGCATCAAAAGAGGTCTTCCCTGTCCATGTGGGTAATCTCCAAAAGAATTAAAAATAGTAGAAATAAGAAATTGGTCCAAAGAAACACAAGGGACACATGATGCCTTCCTGTACACTGTTCTCCCCTTTACCTATTTTGATTGTGTTAACAGTAATCAAATAACTTCTATGCCATCATCTTTTAGTTACAAACGGAGAGGGCTCAGGTGTTGGAGAATCAAGTAACTTGGAAATCATTCCAACTGGTAATCATTCACTGAAAGAAATTAAAGTACTTCCCTACTGTGTTTCCAGTTTAAGAACATAGACACACACACACACACACACACACACACACACACACACACACAGGAGAAAAAAAATGCCCTCTGTGTTATGATGTCACACATGTGGCAGTTCCTGGCCTGCTGGTGGGGGCTAGGAAAGATGGTTTTGAGAAACAGGTCAGTGAGTCCTACACGTGCTTTCTTCTCTTTGAACAAAAATAAGGGTTTAACTTCTCAGATGAATAATACAAATTACACTATAATCACATAACTTAATGCAAACTATTTAAACTAGTTATACCTGAAAATGCACATTTTTTCCCTCCATCAAACTTCCTTGGCTAATGACAGAAAAATCTGTTAGGTGGTATTGTGATTTTTGAAACCTATGGAATTTGAGGTTTCTGTGTCTTAGACCCATATAAGATGGCAATTCCACATGAGTTAAGCCTGCCTGAGCTCTGTGGTCATGGATCCTAGCAACACATGTTCTTCCAAAATGAGAAAAATGATACTGAGCTTAATTAATTGAAATATTGATTTCACTGAACTCTAACTCACAATGATCCACTAAAAGACATTGAACCCCCTAAATGGAGAAAAATATCACTTTAATTACAAACCAAAGCCAGTGTGGCTTTGTTACTAGCCTAACACACACACACACACACACACACACACACACACACACACACACACACACACACACACACACACATCTGGAACAAGAAACTGATGTATTCTGCCATTCACAATCACCCTGGTAAGTCCCATAATGCCACGCGGTCTCAAATGCGCTGGAGTTTAAAGATGATTCTCCAAAAGACATGGTGAGCCTTGAGTTGTCATCTTTAACTGTAATCCACTAAGTGGTTCATAAGGGAGAGTAGAAAAAGAGAAGTCAAGTCCATGGCCACTGAGTGATCCCAGGTTGGATTTCCTCTTTTACACTCTCCTAACCAATGCTGCCTCTTTAATTAGTAGGTTAAAATTTGGTGAGATAAGCAAAAGCACACAGACACCTCCGGCTGTGGCTCACCAGATGCTCTGCGTACGTACTGCTAGCAGTGGTATCGGAACACTGAGTCAACAAGCCAAGAATCATGAGGTCTCCCTTCGGAGCCCCTTCCTATTAACTTGTGATGTCTCTCTCCTACTGCAGAGTCTGCCTGCGCCCCTGATTTCTCAGGGTGCCTCGCTAATTGTTTTTCTCTCCCTATTAGTTAGGTGGAGGCTATAGTGGAAGGACCACAGAGAATCAGAACAGAGGACAGGGGGCAGCAGAGTGCTCAGGGTCCTGCGGGTGGTCATGGCCTCAACATTCAAAGTTAGCATCCGACAGGAGCAGCCTCACCTCTGTCTCTCTGTGGGAGAGGCATCTCTACTAAGATCAAAAATAAGGAGAGGCTTGTATGAGCCACATATAAAATGTACTCAAGATCCTTGGCAACACCAATGAAAAATAAAGAAAACTATTAATTAATGTAGTTGATAAGGTTTTTAGACAGGGCAGCCAGGCAACACCACAGTTAGCAGAGTCATAAGCAGAATTGGCAGTTTTATAAAATTCATATGAAATAGTTAAAACTGAATTAGTACAATTTAAATTGTTTTAAGGAAAGAGGAAAGAAAAGAAAAAAAAAACCCAGCCACAAAAAAACAAAACCAACCAACCAAACAAAAACAAAAACAAAAAACTATCACTGGGCAAAAATGGAAACATTCTTGTGAGAGATTCGAAAAACAAGTATACCTGCACTTTTAAATAAAACCCCGGTCCCACATTTGCTAGGAATGCATCTTTAAAGATCTTGTGGTATCTCATGCAAACAACAGACAAAACAAAAACAAAAACCATTCCAAAAAATGAAAAAGATCCCATCATCCACAAATTTAAATTCTGAAAAGGACCAGTAAGTGCTGAAGATTCTTGTTCAGAAAAATGACCGATCACATTCAAATCACCAGCCATTTAACATCCTCCAGCCCCTTAACATGCACTCCAGGAACATGAGAAACAGGATTTTAGGGAGCCTCTGCGCACAATGACTTGTAGACACCTGATGTCTTCACCTGTTTCCCACCATCTGTACATACGTTAGCTTGTTAGCTCTTTCCGACACACTAGGCATTGTTTATAGAGACGGAAAAAAAATAACAAAACAACCAAACTATCCACACACTCTCCCCCTCTTTGCAAAAATCTCTTCCAAACCAACTACTCACATCCATCAAACACAAAGTAATAAAAGAGTTACTTATACCCAAACCTGGTCAGTCCTTCCATTTCTGGAAACTTGCACACAAACTGAAGAAACCCACTCAGCCTTAAAAAGGTCGATCATTTTGCTGTCTACAGCTTCATCTCTGAGAGAGCTGGCTTCCTCGGTCCCTGTCTGCGCTCTCTCGCTCCCTCTGTGTGACTCTCGGCTTCTCTCGGGAGAGGAGAGGGTTCCCTTCCCTTCCCCTTTCCTGTTTCTGCCGCTGGATGAAGGATGAATGCTAAATACACGATTCGAAGGGATTTTTTTCCCCCTTTTTCTTAGGTGAACAGTTGGAAATCTAAAAATCTTTCTCTTCTGAATGGCTTAACATGCCACTCACTCAACACGGAACGTTTATATAAAGAGGCATAAACACAACCAAGAATTCTACTTAAAAGAGAAAAAAGAAAAAGAAAAAGAAAACAACCCTCCTCCCAGCCTATTCTGTTTACTTAACTATTAGCACTTACCCTGAGATGTGCCATAAATGCTCTATTCCAAATGTACAAAAGCCAACCACATCTCAACTGAGAATTAAACAGTTTTAATGTCTTCAAATCCATGCTCCTGCTCCAAGCCCTGATACAGGCAGTCACTGGCAGCGGTACAATAGTTCTCAACAGCAGACATCTGATTCTTGACATTTAAAAATAACAATATTGGGAAAAGGGGGAGCCTTTTTTTAAAAAAAAAATTAACTAAAACAGCTTGTGAGTGAGCACATAGCACCATTGAGTGTATTGACTGGAGTGTACAGTGATTACAAGTGAACCCTGGACAGCCACAGGCGAGACATACACAGACCCCTCACCTCTTACACAGTCCTGGCAAGGAGCTGCATTAAGTTTATGCTGAGTGAAACTCTCCAAAAGCAGAAGGCATTTCAGGATTGGAGTTCTATTATCTAGTGAATACTTATTAACATTAATTAGTGAATTGATTCACTAATTAATATTAATTAGTGAATACTAATTTGGTTTTGAATCAAATTAGGGATTTTGCTTTTCCTTGCACTGGTAGCCTAATTTCACATGTATGTTCTTTTACTGGCATGGACACATTGCAGGTCCAGTGCACACATGAGTTTGATGCAGACTAAGACAAATAATAAAACGCACATTTATATCTATGTCTGAAACACATTATAGAACTGGACAGAGCTGGGGTCAGCTGTTGGCTGCCCTGCATAATCTGCATTCTTTGTGTCTCAGTTTTTTCTATAAAGCAAAAGCAAAAAAGAACTTCTTGGGAAGAAGTTGGGGGGGGCAGAGGTGGAGGGGAATAGAGGATGAATATGACCGGCGTTTGTTAGGCAAATGGACACCCATCTTTGTATGGGAAAGAGTTCTGAAAATAGTTAAAGCAAATATAGTACTTTTCAAAGTTGTTTTGTGTATTAAATGAAATCTAGATAGTTTCTAACCCAGAGACTACGTGAAAGGATTGAGCCTGATGAATGGCAAGATTTCAGACTTTCAAGGGAAAAGACTCGGTTTTGGCTCTTCCTGTTGCTGTGTGCCCCTGGTCAAGTTATTCAACATAGTTTTCTAAGTCTATGTTTTTCCCTCT